GACAGCTGATCCATTGGCATTCACTAGTTTTCTAAACCTGTACAAGCTGTTCATGTTTGTCTTACCTAGGCAGAGAAGCACCAAAGACACCTCAGCAAGCATTGCACTTGAGGGAGAGAGACTGAGCTCAGTTTTAGACCATCCCAGCCCACTCTGGTTGAGTCTGGACAGGATGTAGTCTCTGCACAAGGCTTTGGACTGGGACACCAGCTCCTTCTCAGTCAACGATCGGTCAAACACGTCCAGGACCTCTGCAGCAAAGACAGACGACCGCCGCAGGACCTCCATGTCCTCCTACAGGGGGTCTAGGTCAGACAGCGTCTGACCACTTCTGATCAGCTGTGTGTGATCAGTGTGTGCTTTTTTTATCCCAGAGGAGCAAAGCTTAATGGTCAAAACAAAATGGCAGCTGTGAGGAAAGAAAACCCTTATTTAGATACAATTTTAATAGCATGAATTCCACCATTTGCTCATTGTTTCTTTCTAACAGCTCAAAAGACTAACTTGATATATTTACAAGGAATGTGGGTGTATACAAACATACTGATAACAGATTCTAAATCTGACCAGAAACTTACATAATAATATGATGGAGGTGTCACTGTTGTGAGTCACATGTGTGAAAAATATTTCTTGGATTATGCAACACTGATACCACAAGATAAGAAAAATATTTTTGTTGTTAGGGCGGCAACAGCTTGATTTTGACTTGAGATAAACCGCATAAATTATGTTGTTTTCACTGTGATGTTACCTGAAATAATAAAACATTTATCACATAGCCTGTTAAAGTGTTTGTCGGTTTAAGCTGCTTTCAGAAACCATGCTTACCTTCAACATTGCATCCACTTTGAGATTTCCCCGCTTCTTTTATCACAAAGGTGTGTTTTTTTTTTCAATAATAGACCTCCAGTTAATTAAGCAGAAAATCTTTCAAACCAGCGCTGTGTGGTGTTTCCCAGCCAGAAGAACGTCTTCTCTCAAAAGAAACTGTGTCAGACAATTACAGAAAAACGAAACACACTGGGCGAAGTTGTGCCTCAGGTCCAATTCCTGGAAAGCGCAAGGTCTGGTCGGTCCACTTGTTTCCCTATAACGCACCGACGGAGCCGAGAGGCACAGCTAGAGGATGCCTACCTGTTGGTCCACCTTTCCATTGGCGCACAATGGGTGCGTTTATTTTACAGCCACGAAAAGTCCGGAGGAGGAGCTTGACGACTGCTTCCCAGCAACTAAACAAGCAACAAGCATCACCACTGCGGAGAGAGGGAGACATCTACATATTCGTCCATAATTCTGCGCAGATCGTGTTTTGTTGTCGTCGTTTTAACATTTTATTACTTCATTTCTGTCCACACCTGTGCGCAAAAGCCACAGCCTTTACTTTTAAAGGACTGGAGTCACTGACGTCGCATAGGAGCAATTAAAATGGGGTTTCCCGCTACAGGTGTAGCTTATCACTGGGCAGTTGGTCTCCAGCCACACGTTATACAAGTGTTCCCAATCTGGTACACAGCAAATATAAATAGATGACCTAGAGGCAAAGTGTACTCTAACCTGTTCTGAAAACTGTTCTGATCCAGCTGTAGTGCTTTGATAATATTTTGTTTATATTATACTGTAATTAAATCAAAAGGCAGTAGCATTTAGAACAGGTATATCTATTAGATGCTCCAATTATTTATTCCTCTGGTAAAACTTAGCTGTTATCATTCTGAAGGAAATATTTTATCATGTGTTCTATAAAAATAGTGCCACACAGTTATCATGGTTCATTACTGGTGGAAATTATTTTACTTTTACTACTAGTTCCTGGTCTACACTACCTCCCAGGACCTGAAGTGGATGTCCAGCATCGGTGCCATCACCAAGACAGGACAGCAGAGGATGTACCTCCTGTGCCATCTTAGGAAGTTCAACCTGCCCCAGGAGCTGTTCTACAGAAGAATAATTAAGCCTGTTCTATTCAGACAGGAAAGGAACAGACTCCAGTGGCCAGCCAGGACTGCAGAAAAGATCATCGGTGCCAGCCTGCCCCCATGGAGGACTTGTACACCTCACGGGTCAAAAGGAGGGTAGAGAAGATTTCTGTAGACCCCTCACACCCTGGACACAAACAGTTCGAACTCCTCCCCTCTGGATGGCGCTACAGGTCACTGTACACCAAAACAACCAGACATGAAGACAGTTTCTCTGATGAACACAATCTATGACTGTATAACAAAATGACAACCCTCAGTGCAATGCCTTGAAAATATACCTCTGGATATATCTATATCTAAACTGTGTATATAACATACATTTGATTTTTATAAGTACTTATTTTTTATTTAACTAGCGCACATTCCTTTTTCTTGTTTCCACATTCAGTCTTGTTTACTCATTGCTTATGGAAGAACATTGTAGATGTGCATTGAGTGCCACTGTACCGAAGTCGGTCAATAATATACAATTAAATGTGCCAAAGAATGGGAGAGCATTATACGAGTTAAATGATGTTTACTCGTGATTTGGCCAATAAAGCTGACTCTGATAAAGTTTAACCTGAGAAAGCATGGTGCCCTTTTTCATTGTTATGCTGATGACATTCAGATTTATATGCCGCTAAAAAGGAAGGATAACTTTTCAATTAGGCCTTTATTGGCATGTCTTGATGACGTTAAGGACTGGATTACACTAAACTTGTTAAAACTTAATGAGACAAAGACTGAAGTAACGGTGTTTGGCCCAAATAAGTCTGGTGACCCACCCTCAGTTGACTTAGGTCACCTGGAGCAGTACAAGAAACAGACGATCCTGAATTTGGCCGTAAAAATTGATTCTGGTCTGAAATTTGATTGCCAAATTAATGCCGTTGTGAAATCTGTTTTTTTCCACCTTAGGCAGATAGCGAAGGTAAAGCCTTTTCTTGCATGCCAGCACTTTGAGACAGTAATCCATGCATTTATTACATCACGCTTGGATTACTGTAACACTCTTTATGTTGGAGTCAGCCAGTCATCACTGGCTCGTCTACAATTGGTTCAAAATGCAGCTGGCTGTCTCTTGGCTGGGGTGCGTAAAAGGGAGCATATAACTCCTATTTTGGCATCCCTTCATTGGCTTCCAGTGTCTTTCAGGATTCATTTTAAGATTCTTTTATTTGTTTTTAAGTCTTTAAATGGTCTTGCTCCATTGTATCTTGTTGAGCTTTTATTTCCTTATAGTCCCTCCAGGTGCCTCAGATCAGCTGACCAGCTCTTGCTGGAGGTACCGAGGGCCAGGCGTAAACTGAGAGGGGACAGAACGTTTTTCCATCGTGGCTCCAAAGCTATGGAAAGCACTGCCCCTTTACATCAGGCAGGCCCCCTCGTTGGCTAAACTTACTTGAAGACTCATTTGTATGCCTTGGCATTTGATATGCCATGAGACTCTGTTTTGGCTGTGTTTTGGTTGATAATATTTTGTTATTTTGGTTGGTTACGTTGGTTCTTTTATTTTATTTTATTGGTATTTTAAATAATGTAGTTGTTATGTTTTTAGATGTTTTGAATTGTTTCTTATGTTAAGCACTTTGTTGGCCTTGGCTGTGTTAAAGTGCTTTATAAATTGAGTTGAGTTGAGTTGAGTTGAGTTGAGTTGAGTTGAGTTGAGTTGAGTTAACCTATATAAGTATCTGTTATTAGGATTTTTGGTTTCCAGTTAACCTTTTGACCACTGTTACTCAAATTTGCCTATCGCCAACATTATTTGACCCATAAGGTCAAGGGGTCCATGCTGAACAGATTAAGTTTTCTAATTTAATGTGCAAGGCTAGTTTCTCTCTTGAGTCTTATTCAACCCCACAGTGATATATAAATACAATACTATGGTGTCATCTGCAGATAGTGTTGATGGTTAATAGTTTTTAGTTACCACAGTTTAAACTTTGTTGTTAATATTGCATTGTTGGGATTCACACAGATTATGAAACACAGTGAAACAGATCAACTCTAAAAAATGAATGCATTATGTTATTGAGAATTAAACACCTTTTGGTTCATGAAAAGCAGACTTTCTCACCAAATGATTGAATGTTCAGCATAAGTAGTTCAAAATTAATCCTTTATAACCAAAATATAAATAATACAATTAAAACACAGCAAACAGGTGACAGATGACACATTCAGCCCTAGGCAAGTGATTGTCTGCACAGCATTTTGTGAACAAACTGAACAGGTTTATTTCTTGCTGAGTTATTAAAGGAACAAGAGCGACATACAGTTGGATTGTTGCTAACATTATTAACCTTAGATTGCCTGCCATCCAAACTCAGAATGAGTGGCTGATACTAAAAATAGAAAAGATTTGTAGACACAGCTGACAGGTTGGTTTTTCACTAATTAGCATATTAGTGGGTGAGCTTCTAGAAAAGCAAACCTTGCCCTCTCCAGAATCAGTATTCACACATTAAGAGAAGAAACTTCAACCTGGCCTGTTTTTAGGGTGTGAACTCCAGTGGTGCAAGTAGGGTATAATACTATAGTGTAAAATGCTTTGTTACAAGTAAAAGACCTGCATTCAGAAAAACTAAAGTATTCATCATGCAGAATGGTACATTTCACATTAATGTATATCATATTATTGGATATTAATTACTGATGCATTATTGTGTGCACCACTTTAATGCTACAGCTGGTAAAAATGGAACTACCATATGCTTATAATGTAAAATTCATTACATACAGCTGGGTAGCTTTTGAACTTCCCATCCAGGTCAATAAAGTATTTTGTTCTGTATTTGTTTTAGGACTCTGATTCTGAAAGGTAACAATAGTTTTTAATTAAATACAGTGCAGTAAAAAGTACAATATTTGCCTGTAAAATAGTGAAGCTGAAGTATAAAGTAACAGAAAACTGAAATACTCAAGTAAAGCACAAATACCCCAGAACTGTACTTACATACTATACTTGTGTAAATGTATAATACTTTCCACCACTGGTCAATCCAGTATATCATAAAGGCCAACACATTTTAAATGTTTTCAGTCAGATAGGGTGTAAATCATGCAATGAATGAAAATGAGATATCACAGTGTTGCAAACTATTATTCTATGAGTTATGAATTATTTCACTCAGCCATGTTTAGTCCATTAGACACATTACACTATTGCACATGAAAACTAGTTTTGCCTTGGTATAAATGACAACAAACACTGATGGTATACCAGAGTCCAAAAATGTCAGTGTAACTGAAAAATGAATTTATGAGCTCCATGATGCTTGCATGAGGTGTTGTGTTATCTTAACTGCTGTTTTGTAAATTGCCATAATTAAACATGAACATTAAACATTCATGGATATTGAGTGCAGTCATTCATTTTTAACAGCCATGTTCAATTTTTCACATCCAGAGGCATGTCCTCTGTCTGATTTGTCACTACTGCCTAATTGAGGACAGCCGGTGTGTCTCGAGGATGCTGTCTATTGTCTGGTTGTGTTGCTGGGCGGACAGCTACGCTCAACAGATAACACCATGTTGTTTTGTTGTCTATTACTTTAAATTCTGCTAAAGGGCAAAAACCAAACTTGAGTCAAATGTTTAACAGTCACAAGACTAAAAAGAACAGGGAGGGTGTTGTAGAGTGTAATACAGCAGCAATGACAAACAGCTGACCATGGGGATAGAAACAGTGACACTGACTCACACATACATGTCCAGTTTGTCTCAGGGCTCCATCAGTGAGGATCATCTGGACCAAACACGTCAAAATAATAATGTCATTCTCTACATTTTAGTGGCTAAACAGAGGCAGAATTCTAGAGTTGCTTTAAGTTCACCATGTCAGAGTTTTGTCACTTTGCCAACTACCTTTGTTACAGTAATTAATATGTGTAACCCAGAGTTTTGGCTGTACACAAGTGACATGAATGAACAGCTTCTTCACTGCAACAGCCGAGTTTCTCCCACACTCTTTAAAGATCAGCGTGCAAAACTAAACAGTTACCTACAGTTTCCCTTGTATTTTAAAGGTTTGGTGACCTTAGACAACTGGCCATTAAGTAGCCACTTTTCAAGTTCTGAGGGCTTCAGTGAAACATTTTCTGAAACACATTACCAAAAATAGGTCCTATCAACATAAAAAAAATAATAATCAAAATTCCAAGCGGCGTGTCAACTATAAGCACCAAACTCAACTGCTGCTGTATTCTCACCAGAACTTAAAATTATTTGAAGAACATTGTGTCTGAAAGGGGTAAATACAACTTTTTCCTCTCTTTAGCACTATAAATGACTGTATCATATTTGCAGTTTAATTTATGTGCAATAGTCAAATTAAACAATGATTTAATAGATTGCATGCTTGCATATCATTACTGAGAAATGTGCTGAACTGACAAATCACATGTAAACAGGCAGGATGGTTTCCCTCCTTCCCTGCTTGCTCTGTCTCTCATTTTCAGATTCCTCTCATTCCAGTCAACCTTTCAGTCTAACTACATGCTGACGAGTAAATTTAAAGTTCCATCCGAGCCTCACGCCCATCAGGAACAGGTAAAACCAGACTCACATGTGGAGTTTTAAGGAAATCCCGCCTCTGGATGGGAAGGGCAACACAAAATATGGAACTGGATTTGTGAATTTGTCACATTTAATTTAACCTTTAGCCTAAGTCATGTCTTTTTAAATGACTTTTTAGTGAAAGGATTCTTCTGGTCAAGTAGTATAAATATTTGACCTACAACATTTTCAGTCTTGCCACTGGTTCATTACCTTTCACATGACGTTTTTAAATCCCCTGTATATAATAATTGGTTTTGGTTGCACAACAATGAGGCTATTCACCCCAGAGGCTGGGCTTCTTTAACAAGAGTCCTGTAACTGTCTGACCCCATCCCTTCAACCTCACTGATGAAACAGTCCAATCCCAAACAGTCTAAGTGCTGATAGGAAGGTGGAGTCTAGCACTGAAACAGGGTGTGGTCTTGAAACCAGCAAGGTCTGTTTTAGTGCCATGGGGTTTAAAATGAGTTGAATGATCCTAGCTAGTATTTCTTGCTTCTCACTTTTACTCACTTTTCTCTGGTTTTCACTCTACTTTTCCAGTTTCTTGCCTGTGAGAGTTTCAGCTCTTGTTGGATTTTTAGTAACTATATAAATGTATTGTTTGAGGACACCTGGAGGCTACCACCCACTGAGCAGCTTTGTATATATTTAGTTTTCACCTGATCACTCACTGGTGTTTCTGATCTGTGGGATTCTGTGGACTGAGGGCTGCCTGCTCTGGCTGTGCAGGAGTGAGTGCTGAGGACGTGTGCTCAGCAGGTGAGTTACTAACTTAACAGCAGAGATTTTAGCAGTTTCAGGGATGTTGCCATACCTGATAAACCATATATCATTTGTTTCTGGAGGTACATGCGGCTTTTGCCAGACACTCCTTTAGTTCAGGGTTAAAATAAATTTGACATGGAGGCAACAAAACATGAATTCAGCTGCTTTTAATATGTTCTTTTGTTTGGTTTACTCTCTGGAAATCCATGAACATATCTCGGTAGATCAGTTGGCTGGCTAGGCTGGCCATATGGGCCACGTTCTTTGCCTCACCTGTTTGACTTGCTCTGTTAGTCAGCAAGAGAGTATTTCATTGTATTTAGACTGTCAACAGAATTAAGATGTTTCACAATCCTTCATAAAACATTCATTGATTTATTGTTTTCATTCTGTAGGATATTTCTATTTGGGGAAAAAAAGCTGTTGTACAAATTTTCTTTTGTACAAATTAATGCTAAGGTCCATCCAGAGAGGGTGTTTAGTTTCTATGCTACACTGTGTATTAGGTAGTGAAAGGAGCTCCTAATACAGATTTTCCTTGTGTATTTGTTTGAAAGCTTGTACATTATGGCACAGGGCCTGTTTGATGAGCCCAGTGCAGCTGTTTCCTGTTTGTTCAGTCAGTGGATATGTACATTTGTTGCTCAACATCACTTTCAGCTCAGCTTCATCTCCTGGGTTATGACTCTTTTGCTTTTTTTCCTATTTTCAGAGATTTAACAGAACAAAAAAGCAAGCAGTCACCATGTTGCAAAAAGCTGTGTCACGCATTTTACAATTCCACAGTTATCTACATGCAAGAACTGGTAAGTGTTTTTACCTCTGCCTTAGAGAGTTACACCTCTGTTTTGTTAAAATATAAAGGATTAATTGTTGGTATAATAATATGGTGAAGCTGCTCAGTACAACCACAGACTAATCTATGGCTACTAAGCAGCTCCATTGGAGCAGTTGGGGTTAAGAGCTTTGCTCAAGGGCACCACAATGGTGTTACTGACCATGAGGCAAGCAATGCTTTGTCACCCAGATTCAATCCTGCCAGTTCAGGTGTTCAACAAGAAACTTTCCGGCCACAAGTTGCTCCTATAGCCTTTAGGCCACCACTGCTATAAAGGAAACTTGTGCTTCTCTTTTGTTGAAATTGGCACATACATTTTCCCATAATTGTATATAAACCACATTTACACTACTCTCATAGATATGTCGTCTAACTATGTGTGATGATTACTGACACAGTGATACAATAATATGTGTGTGTGTGTGTGTGTGTGTGTGTGTGTTCTCCAGATGCCAGAGTCAGAGATTACCCTCTAATGCAGTGTCCCATACAGATGACCAGCATCCTGCTAGCCTATGTTGTCTTCTCGGTCTACATCGGCCCTGGTTTGATGGCAAACCGCAAACCTTTTCGCCTAAACACAGTCATGATTATATACAACCTTAGCATGGTTTTACTGAATGCCTACATAGTCTATGAGGTAAGAAAAATGGATGCTGCATCATGTCCCCATCAACCAACAAACATTACTGTACTTCTTCAAATTACTATAATGCTTGTGAAGTTAAAGTTAGTAACAATTGTTGTTGCTGTGTTTTTGGCACCTAGTTTATGATGTCTGGATGGGCTACCACCTTCACATGGAGATGTGACCTTATTGACCCCTCTAGCAGCCCACAGACTCTAAGGGTAGGTTGTTAATTTCCTCATAGAGAATCCTTGTTAAAGAATTTGTTTATCATGTGTGAGGCCTGAAGGCAATTTTAAAAATGTTTACTTTATGGACAGGACTGTTCTGATGCCTGTTATATTTAGCACTTCCTCCTTTTCCTTTCCCCAGATGATTCAAGTTAGTTGGTGGTTTTATTTTTCAAAATACATCGAACTCCTTGACACAGTAAGGACATTTTCCTTTCCTCATGTGTTTGCCATTTCAACTCATTTCTTTTCTCTGACCTTTTGTGACATAATGTATGCATGTTAGCATGATCTTGGTGGATTTTTATTTCAGGTTTTCTTTGTGCTGAGGAAGAAACAAAATCAAATCACATTTCTTCATGTATTCCATCACTCCTTCATGCCCTGGACATGGTGGTGGGGCATCACTTTGACTCCTGGTATGATTTACTTAACATAATGTTTAACATACTTCATAACTTTAAACAGAACATAAGTCATACATAAAATCTTGTCCTAGTCATGGTTGAAAATGCACTTTTATAGACATTATGCCACTTGACAAGTAATCTATACAATGTGTAAACAATAAATTGGGGAGATGACTGTATGATTTCATAAAAATGTTGAATAAAATGCTACATTTCTTGTCTCTCTTCTCCTTTCAAGCTGGAGGAATGGGCACCTTCCATGCCTTGGTCAATGCAACTGTCCATGTCATCATGTACTTCTACTACGGACTTTCTGCTGCAGGACCTCGCTTCCAGAAGTACCTATGGTGGAAGAAGTACATGACTGCCATCCAGCTTGTATGTCCCTTTACTATATTTGTATGTGTGTGAGGGTGTGTGTGTGTTTTCTAATTATGTCTCTCTGACAGCTTTCTGGTCTCTTTACAGACACAGTTTATTCTGGTCTCCATTCACATCAGCCAGTATTACTTCATGGAGAAATGTGACTATCAGGTTCCCCTGTGGATCCACCTGATCTGGATGTACGGAGTTTTCTTCTTCCTCCTCTTCTCCAACTTCTGGGTACAGGCCTACATAAAGGGCAAACGGCTCCCTACAGCAGACATGCCAAAACTGAATGGTTCACTGGTTGAGACGAACATTGTAGTGGCCAATGGAAAACACTTGGCGAATGGGAATGCACACCACTATACCAACAGCAAAATCTTCTTGAGTAAAGTAAAGGAAATATAACTTAGAGTAGTGACTCTGGGAAAAAAGGAAGCTCAATAGAACTATCTTAAATATATCATTTATGTCTAGCAGCATACCAGAGTAGCACAGATTCCAGTATACTGCTGTTAATCTACGAAACTTGTATATACACTGCCAGTCAAATGTTAGGACACTTCCCCTATTAATTTCTATGGGATAGTGTCTTAACTTTTGGCAGGTAGTATAAGTCTAGGCTTTTCTGAAAATATACATATATTGCGCTGTGGCAGGGATCTCTCCGTACCACATTGTGTCTGTTATTTGTTATACAACACATGAAAACGGGTGCTCATTTTGTCACTGTTAGCATTCCTCAAGTTTGACTTGCACTGTTTAATTGGTGTGATTCTGGTTGCTTAGGAGTATTGCACACTGTTTCCACTGAAGACTGGCACATGTAAATAACTGCTTTATAACAAAAGATTTGCATTGTAGATGTTTCATTTTTATTTATCTTTTGAAATAAAGCCATTTTATATAAAGGTCCAATATTTGGAAAGCAGTGTGCACTTTGTAAGGAATATGGCACACTAAACTTTCAAAAGAAATTGGATGATGTTTATACTGCTACTGTATATGCATGTTCATACAAGTCCATTCTGCAACATTAGTCCTTGGGTAGCAGATGGACAAGTTCAATTTTAATGTTTGTGTGGATGCAGTTTCTGCATGTTGTGTAAATCTAGATCTGAAGCATAAGTATAGAATGACTTGTTTGATATGACCATGCACATGTATGGGCAACAGTGGGTATTATAGTAACTTTGTAAAGTTTATTACAGAGGATAAAAACCAAGCAAATATTGAGAAAACCCATTTCCTTTTGGCAGATGTCAAGATCAATCACTGGTAGAGGCAAATATAAAATGACTGTCCTTATTTGTAAACCCTTAAATTTTGAATCAAACTGATTATAGCTCTACAATTTGCAACAAAGCACTGTTAAAACATGACAACTTTGCCAGAAGCACATACAGTAAACAAAGCATTTATTTGTAACCCAGTCCACTGTATATAAAGATTCCTGATTACAATACATTTCAAAAGCATTAGTGCTTGGGAGCCACCATTTACTTCACACTGGGAGACCAGTAAACAATTGAGACAACTCAATTAACAGGAGCAGCAAGATGTCAGTTATGCCTAAAACACTGGATGGAAAGTCTTTATTGTAGATTAAATAAAACATTTGTATAAATTCAATCATAGACCAAAAAAAGCCTCAAAAGTAAAGAAAAGCAAGTCATCTAATTGATTGATGAATGACACCGTTAGTTGATTTGACCATCCTCTCTTGGGCCTTCTTCTTAACTGGATCCTCTTCAAAGCTCTTCCAGAGGCGAATAGTCTCATCTGCAGCAACGGATGCGACTGTGGACTTGTCTGGGCTCAGAGTCAAACTGAGAACTCTGTCCTCGTGGCCTAAAGTGCAAATATTAACAGTTAGGAGAGGCAGTTTACTGACATTTCCTATAAACAAATATGGTAGTCAGCCTAGTCAAAACAGTAACTCACCGTTGAGCTCTGCAACTTTGGTGAAAGAGGGGTACTTCCAGATTACAACATTGTTGTGGGCATAGCCATGGGCAGAGACCAACTCCTTGTAATTGGGGGCAAACACCAGAGATGAGATCTGAAGGAAAGGAAGGGGGAGAAGAGGGGGGGGAAAAAAGAAAAAAAAAAGATATCACATCCAGCTTGAATCCTGAAACTCCAGGATCTACAGTACAGTTGTCATTACCTGTGACTGAGTGTCATGTGAACTGATGCAGGAGCCACTGTTTACATTCCAGATACGGATGTGACGGTCACTGGTACCGCCTCCAGATGCAAGGATATTCGGCTGCCATGGACACCAGGCCAAAGCCTAGAGCAATGACAATATTTAGAACGTCACAGCAATGGTCAAGAATACTTAACGTGTGACATGAGTTTTAAACAAAAATATTGTCCATTTGACTAATTTGGAAAAAAGAAAGCTGAACCAGTTATGTTAGTACAAATATAAGAAGGTGTTCACCTTGACAGCTCCTTGATGTTCACTCCAGCAGTGCACTACCTGGTTGCTGCTGCTGCCGCCGCTGCCCTCCTGCACACGGGACCATACACACACCAGGTTGTCATTGCCTCCACTTGCCAGGTATCGACCATCAGGGGACCACTTCAGGCCACACACCTCCTGTGAGTGACCAGTGAGGGTGAAGATGTGATGGTCTGCCACCCTCACATCATGATGATGAATATGTCCTGATCTGGAGCCACTGTGGGGTGGAACAGGGAGAATGCATTACAGCCAAGTCCAGCTAAAGCACCCTACTGGAAATGTTAGTTACACTGTCAGAAAGAAAGGAACTGTACCTGGAAAGAATATGGTCATTCCAGCTCAGACTACAAACTCTAGCTGTGTGGCTTGTCATACTACGTAAACGCTTCTGGCGTTCGACATCCCACAGCTACGGAAACAAAAGTGTAAATAACTCGAGTGCCATGTGCCCTTATGAACCAAGGTTGAGCGTTCTTCACCACACTGACCTGAACTTTGCAATCACTGGTGCCAACAGCTAGGTAGCTTCCTTCTGCAGTCCAGGACAGTGAGCAGATGTAGTCCTCGTTACACGCCATCGTCATGAGAAGAGTGATATCCCCTCGAGAAGCATCCCACAAGTAAACACTGTTGTAAAGGGCCACAGCGATCATGTTTTGGCTGCTCCAGTCAAACAGGTTCAAATCTGTGGGGAACAAAAGGGCCCAAATGAACACACACAGGACAGATAGGAAAGCACTCCCTCAGATTATTAGCAATAAAGTAATTAACATTTTGTATAATAATTGATATCTTCATTCATGTCCATCCTCAGTGGCAATGTGATAAATTATGCAGTGTCAAAGGATAAAACATGCATCAATGATATTACAGGGGAAAAACCTCTTCAGTGTCAAACTCACAGAAATCATTCCGAAGTTCAGGAGCATCCAAGATTCTGTCAGGAGTTGAAGATATGTATCTTGTCTTTTTGATGGAGGCAGGAGTCGTAACCTGACTGTAGAGGACTTTCAAGTTGTTTTGATAGCCTGCAAGTTGTAAAGAAAAATACAATGTCCTCTAAATTTAAAAAAGTATATTCATGCAATATTATTGCTAAGAATGGCATACAAACATACTAACCCTCTGGTGCATTCAGGGGTTTTCCTCCAAGGTGCAGAATCTTTGCATCTTCAATGTTGTATCCATTCAGTGACACAGACCAGGCTTTCTGGCTTTCCTTTGAAAAACAGAAGGTCTCAATCAATCAGTAAAATTTCATTTATAAAAGGGATTATAGGAGATTTAAAACAAATACAACCAATGACTTACTGGGTTCACAGCTGCATTTGTGTCCATGGGCTCATTCTCCTTTGAGAGCAGAAAACTTGCCACATCCATTTGTTTGTTATTTCTCGTGGGAATAAAGCGGTCACCCCCTATCTTAGAAGGTGTTTGTTTTTTATTTTTGCCTGAAATACAAGAAATACCTATTGGTTAACATTTGCAGAGAGTTTGCTTAGTGAGTCTAAGGTTGCAAGAATGCGTACACAGTACCTGGTGTTTTGCTTGGCGTTTTTGAGGAGCTCAGTGACACATTAGCAGATTTTCCAGGTGACAAGCCACTCAAGGCGGATGCGTCTGAAGAGCTGGCTTTTCTCTGCCACCTCGCCATGGGAGCGTTTGTGATTGGCATGTCTAGTTTCAAGATACTGTGGATGTCGTTCTCAAACCCAAACTGCGCCATCTTGTCTAGGTTTTCACACGACCTGGGCATCAAAGTATGAATTCAAAATGAGGTGCTAGAGTGAACGACAAGTATTTCTAATCCGTATACCATTTGTTTGCACCAAATAACACTTTCTCAAAATCCCACTGCTGGACAAACCAGCCCTGTCAGGTCATGCACACTGCAAGACCACAAATAAAAACACATCTGTAACAGTTCGCATTTAAGTTAACATTAACCAGTGTCGAGTCGTACTAACGCGAGAATATGAGCTAACGTTATCGCTGCTTAGGGGCTACTGTGTGCAACAAACTTAATCTCGTTTTAATAAAGGCAAGGATTCGTTTCGCGTTAGCTAAAAAGATTTTGCTGTAGAAGTGTTCTGCCAAATAGTGTTACCTTGTGGAGTTATGCTACCGTAGTAGCAGAGTCTGGATTGGCGAACCGCACCCCCACCCCTCGTCCTAATGCTAAACCATTTTGTTAACCCAGCGCAGAGTAATTTAGGTTAGCGTTAAACGAACACAAGTTGGCGTTAAAATCTGCAGCAGGCAACCACTTTACTTATTTATAAGCGCTGAATGGAAAATTCTACAGATCGTGGCTTACTAACTAAATCAAAAGTGGTACAGGTGCAGCGTCAATATAAACACAATCAGCTTACCTCTTCCAGAAAACGTGGGGCACAATGAAATACTGGTCTTTCTCTGTCGTTGCTTCCTAAATTTTGAAATTCGTAATCATGACGCCACACGATTTAAATGTCTGAAAGCGCCGCAGTGATTGGTTCGTTCAAGGAGCTGCCATGGCGCTGCTGTGGTCACGTTTACTAATGCCTTAATGTGATTGGTGGATAAACTTTCTGATACTCCCTCCTCAAAAATATCGCCCCCTTTGGCCAACAGATGTGATTTAGTTTTGTCAAATTTAACAATGAAAACAAAATATCTCATTAAACTAAACAAACTCAATTATATTTCAAGTATGAGTCACAATTATTCCAGTATCATTTACAGATAACAAGTATATCAATTACATCACTTAATCATTTCCTTATCCTGGATTATTTCTTTACACAGCATCAAAGGTTTTCAAATTCAAAAAGTAGTCTATCAAAAAGATCCAGATGGAAAACTCAAAATCGTCATAGTCATAATAGTATTAATATAATATGATATATCTTTCAATAAGCATCTGTTTATACTGGACTATAGACCTACTGTACTTTTACTTGTTAAAATTTCATCCCCTTCCCCTATTACACTCGTCCTAGTGTTTTACATGATTGATATTTACTATAGTGATTAAGACAAAACGTTCTTGCCATAGTAATAATAAAATCAGAAATGTTATCAAGTCAAATAAAGCTTTGTTTATATGGTCTTTGATATGTGGCCAAGAGTGATTAACTGATTAAGCGTACTGTAAGTGTATTAACTATATTAACTGGATTACATTATTTATGGATTAGGCAGAAATCTCACCTAACACATAATATGAATGGTGTACTTGAATGTCAAATCATCATCTAAGCCCAAAGCAGCAACCAGGAGGCATGTTTCTGAAAAATCAGATCAGCCGCATTCATTATCTGTCAAATTAAGATGCTGTCAATGTAATATATACGTATACTGTCACAAGAAAAAGTAATATTTTTTGCAATATATCTGTATATAAAATTGACTCTATAACAGATAAACTGCAAATTTCCCACTGTATTCCCCTGAGTGAAACCAGTTCATTCTTTACACTGCCTGACATGGCTTTGTAACAGTGAAGCAATGTGCATCAGATGCTCCATTTTACTTTAAAAACTGACATAATTTTCCAATTTGTGTTACCATGTAAGAAATTCCTTTCATTTAGCAGTGTGAGAAATGATTGTTCCAAACTACAATCACCCTGTGTATGTGAATTGTAGACTTTTACTTGAATCTGCTGTCCTAATACCACAGATTAAGGTAATCTGGCACTAAAGGAAAAATGTGAAAGTACAAAATGACAATGCCATACAAAATCTTTAATCACACACTGTTAATTTTACATGTACAATAAAAAGAAACTCATAATCACAATGTACAGAATCAAAAATACATTTAACTATAAGAAAAATATCTCAAACCAAAGCATAGAGTACAGTCAGACTCTTTGGGTAACTGGTCACAATTAGTTTTTGTCAGAATTTCAATGTGATTGGTCTATCAAAACACAACTGCAGCAGGGCTTTATCTACAGACAGATTCTGCCATTCTCTGGTAGTCCTCCCTGTTGTTCTCACTTGTACTGGATGGTGTACATGCCTGAAATAAAACATTTTCAACTACTGCAACTAAGAGCTAGTCCAGAAATTAGGAGAGAAGACATCTGCACTTTGTTACTTAAGCAAAAAGAAGCTTGCATATTGCTGTAGACAGTAAACTGTGTGCCAAGTTTATTTGCATGGCGACCTGCAAAAAAAGAACCAGTGCAATGTGTTAAAGTTATAAATGTGAAAGTGCATAAAACAATATGGCCTGAAATTCAGTAGCAGGAGAAAAATTATACAATCACAGTTGAAATTCAGTTCACAGGTATTTTTGTTCATTACAGTGGCCTGGGTTCTGTAGCAAAGGTTTGGATATATTCATGAAGGAACAGTGTCCACAGAGAGGACAAAGAGGGCTGAATCAGTAGGTGGGCAGTCAACAGCAGAAATCGAGCAGAAAGTTCAAATGTGAGACTGTTATTCAGCTGGAGCTTGAACTACAGTGTCCGGTAACCAGAGCCTTTTATCTCTGAAGCCATTTCAGTCATGTCCTTAGGATAATGTATAATTGAGCCAACAACACCTGCAAGGAAATCAAGGAGCACAGATCAGTCTAACATTCATTACTGAATAACACAACCAACCACATAAAAATCCAGCATAAGTAAACAAACTCACTGACTTGTGAGTATTGGCTCTGAATTCTAATACACTAAGCATGGACTAAATTATCTTTTTTTATATACACTGCTCAAAAAATAAAGGGAACACAAAATAAGACATTCAACTATGTTGTGTTCCCTTTATTTTTTTTGAGCAGTATATACAGTGAGGAACAGAAGTATTTGAACACCCTGTGATTTTGCAAGTTCTCCCACTTAGAAATCATGGAGGGGTCTGAAATTCACATTGTAGGTGCATTCCCACTCTGAGAGACAGAAT